AGGCCTGACAGTCAAACAGGTGGAGCGGATGGAAAGGATAAACGACTCCGATCTTCCCAGAGTCTCCACACAGCCGCGCTCACGGGACGAGAACACAGAGGAGAGGAAAGCCAGAAAACAGGCTATCAAGAGCGAGAGGAAGGTGTGTGTGTGTCCCAAAACCTCACGTGATGCATCACGCTAAAAACAATAACACTTAATATGTCATTACTAGATGATTAAGTTTGTTGCTAATAATGTAAATGCTAATGTTACAAATCCCAACTTATTGCTAGCATGTTTCAGTAGGCGGTATATTAGATGGTTCTAGGATAGTTGTTAGCATTAATTAGCTTGTTGCCTTTATCAAGCTAGTTGATTTTAGCTTGTTTAACATTTTTGTTAATTATTACTAAACATTAGTGTGGTTTTAACGTGTGTTTCTGCAAGAATTTGGATGTTTAACACATTTTAGCATGGATTGACTGTTAGCATAATTTATGTAACTTACTTTTAGGATGAGTCGACTTGTTAGCACGCAATGAATTCATTATGTGCTAGCATGTTTTAGCACACTGAGTATGAATGAAAATGGTATTTAGGTTATAAATTTTAAAAAAATTTAAGTTATTGCTAGCATGTTTCAGTAGGCGTTATGTTATATGTTAGCATGTTCTAGCTAGTTGCCTTTTTTCTCAAGGATTTGCATGTTTAACATATTGTAGTATAGTATAGCCTTTTTTTAATAGTTAGCATGATTTTATCATGTTTCTAGCATTTGTAGCTTGTTTTTAGAGTGAATCGACTTGCTAGTGTATTTCCAACAGCACATGTAATGTAACAACGTGCTAGCAAGTTTTAGCATATCGCTAGTATGATTGAGAATGTTATAAATGTTAACATGTTTTAACTCATTACTAGCATGTTTCAGTAGGCGTTATCTTTAGCATATTCTTGGTTAGTTGCCTTTTTTATCAAGAATTGGCATGTTTTAGCACGAAGTGGCTTGTTGCTGTCTTTTTGCTAACATTTTTTAATAAAGTTAGCCAGACTTGACATAATCGGTCATGTTTCTAGCATATGTAGCTTGCTTTCAGAATAATTCGACTTGTTGGAATGTTCCCAGTAGCACATGTAATGAATTAACAATATGCTAGCTTGTTTTAGCACATCGCTGGTATGATGATTGAATATGTTATAAATTTTAACATGTTTTAACCTGTCGCTAGCATGTTTCAGTTGGCGTTATGTTAGCAGGTTCTTGGCTAGTTGCCAGTTTTTTTTCTCAGGAATTTGTTTGTTCTTATGTTTCCAGAAGCACATGTAATTAATGAACAATATTCTAGCATGTTTTAGCACATTGCTAGTATGATTGAGAACGTTATAAATGTTAACATGTTTTAACTTGTTGCTAGCATGTTTCAGTAGGTGTTTTGTTTACACATTATAGGCTAGTTGCCAGCTTTTTCTCAGGAATTAGTTTGTTAGTATGCTTCCAAAAGCACATGTAATGAATTAACAATACGCTAGCATGTTTTAGCACATTGCTAGTATGATTGAGAACTTTATAAATGTTAACATGTTTTAACCTAAATTTGAACACGTTTTAAGTTATTGCTAGCATGTTTCAGTTGGCATTATGTTAGCACATTATAGGCTAGTTGCAATTTTTTTCTCAGGAATTAGTTTGTTAGTATGTTTTCAGAAGCACGTGTAATGAATTAACAAAATGCTAGCATGTTTTAGCGTATCGCTAGTATGATTGAGAACTTTATAAATGTTAACATGTTTTAACTTATGCTAGCATGTTTCAGTTGGCATTATGTTAGCAGGTTCTAGACTTGGGTCCAGGCTTTCTTTGTGATTTACCAAAGTTTATCTCTGAAGTGAGAAATATGTCGGTTATAATGGTCTTCATTGAGCTGAAAGTCACTAGCACACTAGCATTCATGTTTGCTTTACTTCCTTGCTTCAGGAGAGGAGGACCGAGAAGAAAGCAAACAAACTGGCGTTCAAACAGGAGAAGCAGATGCAGGAGAAACAGATGGTTCATTTAAGAGCAAACGTTCAGGGCATGAAGCTTTCATAGAGACTACAGGACCTTAGTGAAGACACTTCTGTTCACAGGCCACAAGGGTAACGATGACATCACTCACTGTACCTGTCCAGGACTACTATGTTTCTTGAGGCAGTTCTAAAAAACATTCTCTAACAGTGTTGCCATGGAAACATCGGAATGAATGGAACCTATAGAGATGGTTCCGTTTATTTGGTTCTACTTCAGTTTGACTGTTTAATGGTAAACAGTTAAACGTTCGCTATTAGTGTTTGTATAATATGTAATTATTATTCACATCCTACAGTTTATTTCAACCAATTATTAAAAAAAAGAATCAAGTATAATTTTTTACAAAGGAATCCCACTTTTATTTAAACACTCTTCACAAAAAACCTCTCCAGCATTGGCAGATTTATTCATCAGCTTAGGTCAGACTGTATGGCTTTAGTTTATTAACATCATGACACGCATCTGTTCTTCAAAGTTCATGGATTTATACAATAAAACATCTTTGACCTGAGATAACTTCCTGTTATTGTCATGGAGTGCACATGTGATGCTACATAGTGATCTGCTTGCATCAAGCTGGAAGTACAGTAATTATACGTTTCTGAGACTAAAGTAAACCTGAACATGTTTCATACAAGCTTGAAGATCATTCAAAAGCAACAGATAAAGGTTGTTTAATACAGGAGTTTTCCTTTTTTATTTATGCCGTAGACCACAGAATATGATTATCTGATCATGAGGAACTCCTGTCCTAAAATATAAAATACATTTGTTGTTGTAAAACTTCCCATTTCTGCTGTGAAAAAAATGAATTACAAATGGATATAAAGTATTCTTCTGACTATTTCGATTTCATTAGGTTATATTGTTATTGACAGTAGTGTATACTTGTATTTATTTGCATTTAAAATTCAATCAGTTAACATTTTAATCTGTATAGTTGAATTTAAGTTTAATTATATGCCACTTTTCACAGTAAAAATTGGTTAATAATAATAATAATAATAAATTGGGTTCAAAAGCAGCTTTACAAAAGGTGTGCATGAAAATTTTTTTATAGTTTATTTTATACAGTACATTTGTAATTGTGACCTGGATATGTTTTAAACTAGCTTGAAGATAAATGAAAAAACTGTCAACAACCCCTGCCCTAAAATATAAAAGGTTTTTATTTTCGTTGTTGAAAAAAAGTTCCAGTTTATATTGTGGAAATTATTGATATAAAATATTTAGTAAAGAATATTTAGATTGAATCAGGTTATATTATTATTGACAGTAGTGTAAACCTGTATTTGCCCTTTTATTTTAATTCTCAATTTAATCTAAAGTATTTAGTTTAATTCAAGTTTATTTACAGTTGAAGTCAGAGTTATTAGCACCCCTTTGATTTTTTTTATTTTATTTGATTTTTTTTATTA